GTGGGTAAAATATAGATTTACAGATTTGCCAAGCCCAAATCCAGTTAGTATCATAATCCCATTTTTGTCCCAGACATTGGGACCTTGACATCCAAGACAGCATTTAAGGTATCACTGCTTTTCAGAATGTACCATGTTGACTGCTTCTAGGAGTTTTTTTTATTTATTTATTTATTTATTTTAAATAATTATTTTTATTTAATTTTATTTTATTTTCATTTGACCAGAGAGGGACAGAATGAGCAAGAGAGAGAGAGGGAAAGTGATAAAGCAAGCAGATAGATCTGGGATTCGAAGCATGGTCCACCATGTGGGAGTCCAGCATCCTTAACCACCATGCCACTTGCCAGCCCCTAGGAGAGTTATTTATTTAGTTTTTTTGGTTTTTTTTGGGTTTTTTTGTTTTTGTTTTTGTTTTTGTTTTTGTTTTTTGGAGAGGTTTTTGCTATAGGGCGTGTGCGCTCGCCAGACAGACAGAGAGAGAGAGAGACAGCAAGCGAGAAATCACCCCCCCAGGAGGGATGGTCACACCACAATCCCTTCTCCTCCATTCTCCTCTCGGGATCTTGGGCACGCAGGCACACGCGCCCAATGTGAGTTTAAGCCACCGGGTCCGGGACTCAAACCGCGGTCGACTACATGGGAGGCCAGTGACATAGCCATTATACTAACTGCTGGTCCCAACGAGAGTTATTTTTAAATCCACAGAGAAATACACATGATAGAGAGATTAGATAGGTAATAGATAAGCAACTTTGATTATCAATCCACATCTGATCTGGCAGTAAAGTCTTGCAATCAGGGTATACAGAACCCACTGCAGGGTGTCAGGCTCTGGAATCCTTTAATCAAGCTTTCTGAATGGAAAGGAAACCACGGGGAATCTAATCCATTTTTAAAAAGCCATTACTATGGCTTTCAATATTTGCAAGACCCAAAAGGTCAGACTCTACAGGAACAATATGGCCTGAGAACAGTCTGAGTTCAGATCCCACTCCAGTGATTTCTAGCTGTACAGGCAAGTCAAATAATTTACTTACCCTTGTTTAGTTTCTTCACTTGTAAAAGTGGGGCCCAGAGCACCCATTTTACAGGCCCCTTATGAAGATGGAATTCAAAAGTCTATGAAGGGTTAAATGCATGTCTGTTATCTACTAAATACTGTAAATTATTCCACACAAAATCATAAGCCAAAACCGGACCAGCAGATGACCTAATGGTTATGTCACTAGACTCTCACATAGTCGACTGAGGTTCAAGTCCAGGACCCAGTGGCTTAAAATCATACTGGGCACATGTGCATGTGTGCCCAAGATCCCGAGAGGAGTCTGGAGGAGAAGGGATTGCAATATGACCATCCCCTCTGGGGGGTGACTTCTCGTTTTCTGTCTCTTTCTCTCTCTCTCTCTCTCTTTCTCCAGTGAGTGCACATGCTCTATAACAAAAATCTCTCTTGAGGAAAAAAAAATCGGAAACTAAAATCAACAAGGCAGAAGTTGCTTTCATCTGGATTAAAGTCGGGAAGTGGGTAGTATAAGGCTGGTTCCAGGGTCTCAGGGACCCGTGTTGATCCCGCCTCACATTCTGACATCACTTGGATATAGCTGTGTCTAGGGTCTGGGTAGAACCAGGTACTTACCAGGGTGTAAAATAGAGGAAAGGACAAACAAGACCAAAAGCACCTTCCAGCAACCCCTCAAGGAACATGCCCCTAGCTGCCCACCTGGACACTCCTTCCATTTCCATTTCGTTGGTTAGAAGTTTGTTGCAAGGGAAGCCTGGACAGTGACCTTTATTCTAGGGGACTATGTGTCACCTAAGATTCTCTTGTAGAAGATACCACAGGTGGGGGAGAAGGGTATTTTAGGAATTTCCAGTATTCTTGAAAGACTAATAAGGTTTTGGGAACCAGCAGTTAGTGTAATGGCTATGTCGCTGGACTCCCACGTAGTCGACCTCGGTTTGTCGACCGCGGTTTGCGTCCCGGACCCGGTGGCGTAAAACTCACGCTGGGCGCGTGTGTGTGCGTGCCCAAGATCCCGAGAGGAGAATGGAGGAATGGAGGAGAAGGGATTGCAGTGTGACCATCCCCTCTGGGGGGTGATATCTCGCTTTCTGTCTCTATGTCTCTCTTTGTCTGTCTGGTGAGCGCACGCTCCCTATAGCGAAAACCTCTCCAAAAAAAAAAAAAAAAAAGAGCTGGGTAGGAAATGGTACATTCCTGGTTACAGAAATCTGCCCTTGGAAGGGGACTTGATCCAGGATTATCATCCACTGTTAATCACACCAACAGTTGTTTGTAACTAATGTAGCTAACTAGAGAAATAACAAGTGGCATGCCTACACGGTTCAGAAATATTCCTACCCGGATCCCACGACTTTCTTTTCCACTCAGTAGAGTGATAGGTTTTGCAGCCATAATCATAGGAGTTAGATGTACAAAAGGTAAATAGTCATCCAAATTGCTAACTAGACGGAAAGAAACAGTGGGCTCAGAAGTAATTATGGGGCCTCTCCTAGAGCCCCATGACCTCAATTTAAAAAGATGCAAAAAAAAAAAAAGGCAGGGGTCTCCACAGTTATTTTCCAGACACCAATCAACTCTCACAAGAACCCCATTATTTCTGTTGGAAATCGCCAAATGAGAGACATTGTTCTCGAAAAGACTAAGAAGCCAAGGCATATACTCTGGTGGGAGCAAAATAATCCCATTACATAGTGAAAAATACATGCAGAGGTTGACATTTAAAGAAAAAGCTGTGCAACCTGCCCAGCACACACACACACACACACACACACACACACACACTCCCCTTTTGCGCTTTTATTCACTTTAAAAAGACAGGATCCATCCTCGTATTCCTTGTATTCCTTAAGTCAGTTTCAGATCCTGCCACCAGGTGGCAGGAATAATCAGCATCAAAGCGCTGAAGCTCCTGATGGAAGCAGACGTCAGGATTCTGGAAGGGACCTCAGGAACAGCAAATCCAGACTGCGCTGTATAGATGGGAGACTGGGTGTGAGGTGCTGAGTCTTGGAAAGATGTGGCCTACTCAGCACCTCACATGTATTCAGAAACCATGAGGACTTGCCCCTTCTGTTATTATTGTTAATATTCTAGTCCACCTTTTGTTTGGTTTAATTTTTAATTTGGTATTAAGGAAAATTTCAGTATCATATATACACATATATATATACATATATATATTGTCCTTTCAAAGTATAGATTTTTTAAAAAATTATTTTATTTAACTTTATTTATTTATTTGTTTGTTTTAATTTGATCAGAGAGAGACAGAGTGAGAGAGGGAAAGTGAGAAAGCAAGCTGCCAGGGACTCAAACCCCAGTTGACCATGTGGCAGTCCAGCACACTTAATCACCATGCCACCTGCTGGCCCCATGCCATGGATTCTTATACCAAACACCTAAAGGCACTACAACACTATGCAAGTGCAACATTAAAACCACCATGGTTTATTAGTTCAACAAATAATCTTTAGCGTCTGCTATATGCAAGGAACAATGCTTAAGTAAGATACAAACAACCATAGCGCAAAAAGAAAGCATGACAACAATACATTTATGCAAAAATCACTTGTGCGCCTTGAGTTTTTATTTGTGTTTATATGCTTCTGTGGTTTTTTGTTTGGCTTTTTTGTTTGTTTTTTTGTTTGCTATGTGGTGTGTGTACTCACCAGAAAGAGAGAGAGAAAGTGAGAAATCACTACCCCAGAGCAGATGGCAACACTGCAATCCATCGTCCTCTCCTCTCCTCTCTGGATTTTGGGCATGCAGGCACATGCACCTGATGTGATTTTTCAAGCTGCCAGGTCCAGAACTCACACAGCCAGTCATGTGCTATCCAGTTGCCTTAAACCCTGTGCCACCTGCTGGCCCCACTTTTGTATTTCAATAAGTGGAAAATATGTATGAGATTGCAATATTTTCTAGTTTCCTGGTACTAGCTAGAGGTCTATATTTAAAATCAAAGTCATGCCCCTGGTCTTGTTTTCATAGACAAGGTCCCAGCCATTAGGGCTAGCAGGAGCATTTTCTGATACCAGTTGCCCTACGAAAAAGTTGGCTTGGGATAAGAGGAAAGATTAAGACACCCCCAAAGGGAACCAGCTGTTAGCGTAATGGCTATGTTACTGGACTCCCATGTAGTAGACCGTGGTTCGCGTCCCAGACCTGGTGGCTTAAAACTCACGCCTGGCGTGTGTGCGTGCGTGCCCAAGATCCCGAGAGGAGAATGGAGGAGAAGGGATTGCGGCGTGACCATCCCGCCTGGGGGGTGATTTCTTGCTTTCTGTCTCTCTGTCTCTGTCTGTCTGGCGAGCGCACGCGCCCTATAGCAAAAACTTTTTCAAAAAAAAAAAAAAAAAAAAGACACCTCCAAAAAGACCAAAGAGAAGCAAGCCAGGTGTTTGTCTGGGAACAGCAGATGAGGGGTCAGGACAGCCCTCCAAGAACAAGCCTTTCTTAGTTCCTTAAAGTAAAATCTAAATCGCTTCATGAAGAAAAATTTTTAAAATGCCCATTGCTACTGGCAATTGCTTTCACCAAACAAAATATATTTTAACATCTCATAAAACCAGCCTCAAAGAAGGAAATTGTCTGGCTACAGTTTTCTGCACTTCGTTTCATTTTCTAGGTTGAAACCCTGCGTGAGGTGGCGGAAAGGAGGGTGGACAGCTGCCCCCTGGCCTCGCTTCTGCTTACTACAAAGCCTTCTGGCCACGGCAAGGGCTGCTATCCTCTTCCCCTTCTTCCTCAGGTTGGACCACACTGATATTTTCTACCAGAACGAATCAAGTCTAAAGTCATCTGTGTACCTTATGAGACAGGGACTCATCGGCTATCCTTTAGTCCGCCGCCTCATCCAAACACCCTTTGCTTATATCTTCCTCCAAAATTCTGCTAGGTATCATTCATTTAAAAAATAAATTGTTTTTTTGGCTCTGACATTTTACTTTTACACTCTGTACTTTTTTCTTAGAATGAAGAAAGCGTTCTTGAAAACCAAAATGCATCAGGAAACGGCAACTCGATCAGGAGCAGAGCTGTGCCAGGCAGGGAGCCTATAAATACCAAGCAGGTACGGCCAACCCCGGTCAAGTGACTCTGGTGTCATGGTAACCACTGCACGCTTGGCACCTGAGAGCTGTGGGGACAGAAGTCATGTGCCCGGCTGGCACTCAGAGGACTGGATTAAATGGTAATTAGCGTGTGTTCAGAGTTGGGAAGGAAACACACACGCCCAAACAAAGAGACTTTGTTTTTAGACACCTGTCCTCAGAGTTCCCCAAGGGCAAGAGGATCCAGACTTTTTCTGAAACTTCACTGTGATGGATTCCAAGCTCCAGCTCACGGCAAAAAGCATGCACTTAAACAAAAGCATCTGAAAGAGACAGACAAGAGGAAGGCCCCAATGTGGTTCCGAAACCACATTCATCATGTCCTAGAGTTCCTCGATGGCACCCTGATTTACCCCAGTCTAAGAACTCTGTTTCCTTCCATTGACATATTGAACTCATGTAAAGAAAGTGAGCACACTGCCCATGCAGACCCTTCTTTAAAGGTAATGTTGAGTGTTCACTATTATGTCATTTTGTGGGGCATTTTATCATGATGATAGAATACCTGTTTTTTTAAGTTTTTTTTTTTTTTTTTTTGAGAGGTTTTTGCTATCGGGCGCGTGTGCTTGCCAGAGGGGCAGAGAGAAACAGAAAGCGAGAAATCACCCCCCAAGAGGGTTGGCCACGCCACAATCCCTTCTTCTCCATTCTCCTCTTGGGATATTGGGCACACACGCACATGCGCCTGGCGTGAGTTTAAGCCACCGGGTCCAGGACTTGAACTGCAGTCGACTACATGGGAGTTCAGCCACATAACCATTATGCTAACTGCTGGTCCCAATGATAGAATATCTCTTTTAAGTGGAAAATAATTGCAGACAAACTTGGGAGCCAAACGTAGCTTGAAATTCAAAAGGAAAAATGTCTAACATATTGGAACTTAGTCATTTTTAATGCAAGCAGATGCCCACATGCATATATACGCACATGTCATCTATATGGAGGTCATACTATGTATCTTACGTAGTAACTGTCTATTTTACTTTATGTGTGTGTGTGCGTGTGTGTGTGTGCGTGTCTATAGGGCATGTGCACCCACCCAAGAGAGACAGAGGGAAAAATGAGAAACTGCCCACCTCCCCAGAGGGGATGGCCACTCCACAATCCCTTCTCCCCTATTTTCCTCTCAAGATTTCAGGTGCACACACACACACACACACACACACACACACACACATGCCTGGCATGTTTTTCAAGCCACCAGATACAAGATGCATACTGCAAAGTCAGCTATGTGGGAACCAACTACCTTAACCGCCACGCCACTAGCTAACCTATTCACTTAAAATATATTTTGAAGTGTTCATGTCACTAGGTATTCTTCAACAAAAAACAAAGACAATACTTATATCCACATAAAAAACTTGCACACAGAAGTTTATAGCAGCTTTATTCATAATTGATGAACTTAGAGGCAATCAAATTATCCTTCAGTAGGTGAATAGATAAATTATCTATAGTACATCCAGACAAGGAATATTATTTAGTACAAAAGTAAGTAAGTGGAACCAGTAGGTGGTATAGTGGTTAAGGTGTTGGACTCGCACATTGCCAACCACAGTTCAGCTCCCAGACCTAGAGGCTTGAAAAATCACACTGGGCACAAGTGTGCACATATCTAAAATCCTGGGAGGAGAATGGAAAAGGGATTGTAGCATGGCCATCCCCCTTGGGGAGTGATTTCTTGCTTTCTGTCTCTCTGTCTCTGTCCAGTGAGCACACATACCCTATGGCAAAAATCTTAAAAATATTTTTTTAATAAATAAGTTAACACACCATGACAAAACATGGAAGAAACTTAAATGCATATGACTAGCTGAAAAAAGTCAATCTGAAAAAGTTACCTACTGTACAATTCTAACTATATGACACTCTGGAAAAGATGAAGCTATGAAGACAGTAAAGTAATTGTTTCACTGCCCTCGAAATCCTTTCATTCATTTCTAACTCCCTTCTGTCTCCTGGAAACCATTGATCATTTTATTGCCTCCATAGCTTTGCCTTTTCCAGAATGTCATATTAGTTAGAATTATATAACAGTTTCACTGCTCTAAAATCCTCCTATTCATCTCTACTACAATGGCAGATACGTATTATTATACATTTGTCCAAACCCATAGAATGCAGAACACTGAAAATGAACCTAATATGGACTTTGGGTGATAATAACACGTCAGTATAGGTTCATCAGCTCTAACAAATGTATAATAATTTATAATAATAAAGAAAGGGGAGCAGGCCGCTGTCCCATGATTGTGGAGGTCAAGAAAAGGCCACTCCTCATGTTGTTACTGGTTTTGGTTTTTAAAGAGATATTTTTGCTATAGGGCATATGAGCTCACCAGAGAGACAGAGAGCAAGAAATCACCCCCAGGGGGGATGGCCACACCACTATCCCTTCTCCTCCATTCTCCTCTTGGGATTTGGACACATACAAACACATGCCCAACATGAGTTTAAGCCACTGGATCCAGGATTCAAACCATGGTCGACTACATGAGAGTCCAGCAATGTAACCATTATGTCCTCTGCTGATCCTTGTTATTATTTCTAAAAGGTAGTTTTAAAGGACTGAAAAAATGAAACAGTAGTAATGTTAGACGTTCCTTACAGGGTAGATAACTAGACGCTTTCACTGTAAGACAAATAATGATCAATTAGATCAAATATTTACCAAACAATGACTATTGGCCAAGTCAGGTGTTAGAAATAAATGAATAAGGCGTCTCTCTAGCCCTGTCTTCAGTAGCTGCAGCTTGGACTCAGCTGGTCTCCCTTGTAATTATCCCCTCATCTCCCCAGTTTCCGAGGTCCAGCCCAGATAATGAAGATAATTCAAATCAGAAGGATAATGGAGTTTGGCATCAAAGGACTACACGATCTTGAAGTATCCTTTCAGCTCAGAAACACGCTAGTCATTTATTCTGATGATTTGTCTTAAAGAGAACAAAAGCCATGTTGGCTATGAGAGCAAACGAAAACTGAAATACAACATTATACCTCCTAGAGCAGGTTCAGAGCTGCTCCTCATCTGTATACGGGTGTCCTCTTTACATGCAGGGCATTCGTTTCAAGACCCTTCCTTCCCGTAGATTCCTTAAACTACAAACAGTACCGAATCCTATATGCGCTGTTTTTTTCCTATCCATATCTACCTATGATAAAATTTAATTTCTAAATTATTCACCGTAGAGGTTGATAACCACTAATTATAAAATAGAACAACTAAAACAATGTATAATAACTCCTCCCTACCTCCTACTAGCCAGACCTCTCAGTAGAGACATTATTGCAGAATGGAAAGAGAAGGAAGTCCTCCGCCATCTTGGGAACAGGATGGGTCATGGATAGCTGAGCGTTTACCCTGCAGCTAGGAAGACTGTCCATGAAAGATGGCCGAGGTGTGTACTGCACCTGGTTAATTAGAGCAAGGGCTGGCAGAGTGAGGGAACGATTTCCCCTTAGCCTGACCAAGGGACCCTCGTTCCCAAGGGGAGGTTTAACAGCTATTGGAGGTGCCGAGCTACTGTCCGTTTTCTGCAGACCAAGCCTTAGGTAGCCAGTAAAATAAAATCAGTTTTGATCTCAGTGCTTTGGAAGCTGGGCCTTGCAGAGCTGTGAAGGGAGATTTATGCAGTCCCTGGTATGAAGTTCATTTAGCACTTGCCTGAAAACACGGCGGGGGTCGAATGATTATAGTAGAGACAGGGAGAAAAGCAGGAATATGAGCCTGTTCTCTTAAGAAAAGGAGAAATACTAAGTGCTGCTTGGGAAGGCAAGGGGGGATAAGTGTGACCCTGAACGTTGTGTGATTATAAGAAGGAAAAAATGTGCAGTAGATAATAAGAGCCGTCTTATTGCATGATAATTTAAGAGGACCTTTCAAAAGGTTTTTTTGCCATAATTCGCAATTTTGCAAAGTAGTCCAGGATCCATTAAGCCCAGATTTTCATTTTTCCTTCCCTGCTCCACTGTTTGATTTCTAGGGAGAAGAAGGGGTCACTATTGAACAGGATCCTCCAAGCATCAGAGAAGACATGGAGGATGACCAAGAGACGCATAAAAAAGGGTACCTTTTATTTAATAATGATTTATTTTTCATTTTATTTATTTTTTTAATATACTATAGGGCACGTGCACTCACCAGAGAGAGGCAGAAAGAAAGTAAGAAAGCAAGCCACCAGGTCCAGGACTCAAACTGCAGTGCAAATCCAGCACTTTAACCACCACGCCATCTGTTGGCCCCCCAAAGGGTACTGTTTTTAAACCAGGAAAACAATCATACCTTCTATCCATTTGGGTTTTTTCTTTTCTTTTCTTTTCTTTTTTTTCTTTCTTTTGAGAGGTTTTTGGGTGCGTGCACTCACCAGAAAGACAGAGACAGAAAGTGAGAACTCACCCCCTGGGGGGATGGCCACAACACAATTCCTTCTCCTCCATTCTCCTCTTGGGATCTTGGGCACATACGCACACCTGCCCGGCATGAGTTTAAGCCACCAGGACTGGGACTCGAACCACGGCCCACTACATGGGAGTCCAGCGACATAGCCATTACACCAACAGTTGGTCCCCTCATTTGGTTCTCCCACTTTGCTTTATCAGCATCCAATCCTTTTTTAGCATGTACTAGAGATTATCCCCTTCTATCCTCCCAACACAACACCGTTTTCAGAAAAATTGGTAGAGCTCTGTCTGGGATGATCAATGTGGTCAGTTCAAACTGCTGATGTCCTGAGAACCTGGCATCTAGATTTTAAATTCACTCCGGACCATTTTTGAATTAAAGGTGTAAATTACCGACTAATTGCTTCAGTCCATACAAAAGTAGTTCATTCATCTTCTCAATGTCAATCAATAGCAATTGATTTCTCAAAATCCAATCCTCTTTAAATCTCAACAAATGGTTGCTTTTACCATATGGAATCCTGAAGGTATTCTAAGTCCTGTGAAGTAGGAGAGGCATGATTATTATCTTTTGTTGTTGTTGTTGTTAGGAAAATGAAGCTCAGAGAAGTGACTTACCCAAAGTCAGGCAGCTAGACAGGAGGAGCTAGTTTACAATTTCAGACTGACTCTTAGTCCAGAATTTTCCAGTATTTTTAACATAGCACTACAGTATTGGTCCCTTTTCTAAATGCCTATTTGAATTTGATCCAAATTCCTACACCTCTGAGGAACTGTGCTTTTCTTATATCAGAAAATACCTCTGGGGTTGGCTAGAATCAGGGTTGGGAACTCCTGTCATATAAATACCATCACGAGTATTTTCCACCTCAGAAATAATAATAATTTCATCCTTCATTTATAATTCTGACTCAGAAACTGAGTAATTCTCTGGGACCAGCAGATGGTATAATGGCTATGTTGCTGGTCTCCCGTGTAGTCAACCGCAGTTTGAGTCCCGGACCTGGTAGCTTAAACTCACGCTGGGTGCGTGTGCATGTGTGCCCAAGATCCTGAGAGGACAATGGAGGAGAAGGGATTGCGGCGTGGCCATCCCCCCAGAGGGTGATTTCTCACTTTCTGCCTCTCTGTCTCTATCTTTCTGGCGAGCACATGTGCCCTATAGCAAAATCTTCTCCAGAAAAAAATAAAAGAAACTGAGCGATTCTCTTGGGTGGTTAGAGGTGCTCAGGTTTCCCTAATATTAATGATGCTAAAACAACCACCAGAGGTTGGGAATTGTTCAGCCCAGATACCCAAATAGCTGAAGTGTCTATTTCTTTACTTTACAATATGCAATCAGAGTGCTGTTCTAAACAACACACAATGCCTGAAATTAAAACCATCTGACGGGGCAGGGGAAATGGCAGTCAAGGCACTAGATCCCACATGACTGCATCCACAGGCAGAGTCCCAGATCCAGCTTAAAAAACATGCTGGATGAGGCTAGCAGGTGGCATAGTAGTTAAGGCACTGGATTCCCACATGGCCGAGAACAGTTTGCAACCTGGACCCAGCAACTTGAAAATCACCATGGGCACTTGTACATGCATGCCCAAAATCTCAAGAGGAGACTGAAGGAGAAAGAATTGCGGCATTGCCATCCCCTTTGGGGCGGGAGGGGGGGTGATTTCTCACTTTCCTGTTTCTCTCTGCCTCTCTCCAGCAAGTCCACATTCCCTACAGCAAAAATAAAACTCAACCTCCAGTGGATGGATGTCCACTAAGTGTCATCCTCTGTGGCTGCTACGTTGTTTTTTTTTTTTTGAGAGGTTTTTGCTATAGGGCGCATGCGCTCACCAGACAGACAGAGAGAGCCAGAGAGACAGAAAGCGAGAAATCAGCCCGCAGGGGGGATGGCCACGCCGCAATCCCATCTCCTCCATTCTCCTCTCGGGATCTTGGGCACGCACACACACGCGCCCGGCGTGAGTTTAAGCCACCAGGTCTAGGACTCAAACTGCGGTCGACTACGTGGGAGTCCAGTGACACAGCCATTATGCTAACTGCTGGTCCCAACGGCTGCTATTTTTTAACACTCTTTTCAGCAACTGAGGACAATGCATCATTAGCTTTTACTAAATAAGGCCATGAAACAGTGAGTATTTACTACATTTTCATTCACCATTATCTTCTAGAGTGCTATTTCTTAGTACACATATTTACACACAAACGTACAATGAACGTTTCATGAAATAATACCTATCATTATTACGTGTGATACACACTTCCCCATTCTTTCTTTTTTAATAGGGGTTATCAAGCACTGTGTGACTTCACAACCCACTAATGAGTGCCAACTTACAGTGGAAAGTGCTGTTGCAGATATCGGGAGATTTACAAGCTCTTGAGGGACCCAAGCTAGTGTCCACTAACTTACCTATTAGATCAATAAATGCCTGCCTTGAATACTCTTATTAAGATCCTTCTGCTTGTACTAAATGGTTCACAGGTATTAACCCCTAAATAACAAGCAGAGAGACAGATTCTGTAAAAGAAAAATGTCTGAGAATATGCATTGCAATGCAGAATGCACTTGCCATAGTGAACTATAGCCATATTGAGAGAAGTAAGGGAAGACCAAGGTTTTTAAAAGAAACATGAGAAGGGATTGCTTAAATTGTTTGGGGACAATTATCTTTGGCTACCAAGAATGAGAACAAAGGTGCTGTCAGTCCTGGATTGGACAGACAGTTTCTGGGCAGATGTCCTTGTAAAAGTCATCCCTGTGTGACGTTGCAGTGGTCTCTGTACAGGCTGGGTTCTGACAGAGTCCTGGTGACGATTCATTTTGTACTTGTGTGAGAATCACTCCCTCCATGGCCTTCCCCAGCTCCATTTCATTGGAATTAAGCACAAAGTTGACACAAATGAACTCCGTGTTGATCCTGACAACTTTCCCACAGACATCTATTCTCCAGGAAGTTGTAATCAGCCCTAGGATCATAACAAAACATCATTGAAGAAGACAGTAAGAATAAAATGCAGAGAAATGTCTCTGTCTGAGGAGATTTGAGAGTTTTGTTTTGTTTTGTTTTGTTTTCTGGAGAGGTTTTCACTATAGGGCGCGTGCACTCGCCAGACAGAGAGAGAGAGACATAGAGACGGAAAGCGAGAAATCACCTCCCAGGGGGGATGACCACGTCGCAATCCCTTCTCTTCCATTCTCCTCTCGGGATCTTGGGCATGCACACACATGCGCCCAGCGTGAGTTTTAAGCCACCGGGTCCAGGACGCGAACCGCGGTCACCTATGTGGGAGTCCAGCGACATAGCCATTACTCTAACTGCTGGTTCCCTTGAGAAGATTTTGTAGGGGGACTTGGAACTGTGCCCAGAGCTGGAGAGGTGGCTGAGACTTGGACACGCAGTTACGACTGCTGGGAGGAAGGGAAATGGAGACATTAACCAAGGAGTGAGCAGGTCCCCCAGCAAGGGGCTCGGTCCTATGCGGTCCTGAAGATTGGGAATCATCTACATAGAACAAGAAATGGTCATTGTAGAAATGCTATCCACTGGCCTGGAAATGGCAATGGTTAAATGTGCAATCACATCCCTGCCACCCAGCCTCACATGGGAGAAGATTCTGAGGAAAGAGGCATCTACTGGGAAGCCAGAGGTCAATGCAGGGGTGATGGGGACAAGGAGCATCCCTGGAGAAGAGGATAGCCATCGTAAACGTGGCCCTGTGGCTTTAGGCCCTGGGGACAGCTGGACAGAGCCCCTCCCAGAAGACAGTCAGATACGCACGTGGCTCACGCACTACTCACCCACCCATCCATAATAAAGTCCTGGACAGAAACAAACACATGCCAACAATTCCAGAACTTTCTGAGAAAACTGTATAATAACCCATTGGTTAGTATCCCTCAACCCCACACTATCCAACTTAACAGTTCAAGCAGACCCAGTGACGTGAGTTAGTCCCGAGTAAATGGGAGAGTGATAGGGACAGGAAACCAACAACTTGCTCCAATTTTATGGAACTAGGACAGATGGCTGAGTTCCTTGGCTTTTTGTTTGTTTTTTGTTTGTTTTTGTTTTAACAAAAAAAAAAAAAACATTTAAAAACCATTAGTTAACTAACTGCCGGTAGAGGGGCTTAGCCAGTGGCATGGTGGTTAAGGTGACTGGATCCCCACATGGTCAACTTTGCAGTCAATCTAGCAGCTTGAAAACACCAGTCACATGTACATTGGGTCCACAGTCCCTAAAAGGGAAATGAAGAGATTACAGCATGGCCAGCCCCCATGGGAGGGGCTTCCTCACTTTCCCTCTCCTTTTCTCTCTCCAGTGAGTGCACATGCTGACAAATTTAAAAAAAAAAAAAAAAAGCTAATAGAATTTCTAATAGTCTTGAAGCACTCTCCTCCTGTGATTTATTTTTTGTCTTCATTTGGTTCTCTAGCTCCCTGCTCTGTCCCCAGGGGCATGTGCTCGGCCCCTGTAATCCCTTAGGGTTTGACACATTGGTTCAGTGAAGCTTGATCCAAGCCATGGCTGATTTCAGTCTAAAATGAAATGCTTCCCATTTCTATTTCATAAGGCCTATGCTTCACAAATTTTTGTTTGCTTGCTTGCTTATTTCACAGAGACTAATCTAGCTTAGCATGCCAGTTGAGTTCCTATTTCTGGTGTTTACTTCGGCCTGCTTTTTTGCTTTTGTGTTTCAGGTGTTTGGAAAAGAAGTATGACCTCATTTGTGACTTTTGTAAAAAACACAAAACCATTCTTCGGTACATCATCTGGGGCATTTTAATAGCAGGTAAATAACAGAACGGGATAAGGATACCACACCATTCTTTGCAGGGATTCTCCAAACACTAACATTATATGTAAAAAGAATAAACCTTCCCCCAGACCTCATCGAACCATCCACAGACAGAGAAGCAAAGCTGGAAGTCCTTACTCGGGTCTGGCAGAGGATGCCTCCCAGTTTATCAGGCCAGCAGCTGATTTTTGTCACCAGCTCTCAGGGCTGACATACCTTTGTTATTGTGATGTGGTTTCAAGAGGGTGCATTGGTCAATGCGAATCTGGAAAATATAGGGGGCTAGCAGACATGGTTGATAATAACAAGGTAAAAACCTAGTTGAAGAGGGCAACATAAGCAATTGATGCTTTACAGAGTGCCACACAGGAGGCAGGACCATCTCCCACTCCTGCTGAAGGTGGGATGAGAATGTCTCCCTTCAAAGCAAAGGGCCTCGGGACCAGCAGTTAGCGTAATGGCTATGTCGCTGGACTCCCATGTAGTCAACCATGGTTCGAGTCCCGGACCTGGTAGCTTAAACTCATGCTGGGCACGTATGCGTGCGTGCCCAAGATCCCGAGAGGAGAATGGAGGAGAAGGGATTTCAGTGTGGCCATTCCCCCTGGGGGGTGATTTCTCGCTTTCTGTCTCTCTGTCTCTCTCTGTCTGTCGAGGGCACATGCCCTATAGCAAAAAAAAAAAAAAAAGCATAGGGCCTCGCAGTGCATTTTCAAGTACTCCCCTGCCTATAAAATGGAAGCCTTCCTCCAAGTCCCCAGACACTAAGCAGGACGGCTGCACCACCACAGGCAGTGGTTTTGCTGGTGCTCAGACACCTGAACCGGAAACTCGGCAGGTTGGTAAGCTTTTCTCTGCACCAGGCCACTCATATTCCAGGCTTTGCAGTATTTTAGGAATACAGCCAAAACGATGCAACTCTGCCATGGTAGTAAAACAACGCAGCCACAGACAGCACCCAAGCAGATGGGCATGGTTGTGTTCCAGCACAACACAGGATTGTTCTTGCCACCTACAAAAAACGAGTGGCAGGTCAGACACCCCGCGGACCATAGCGCTGACTATTAAGCACTACTCTCCGAAGTGGAGGGCACCTTGTTTTTCTGCTAGAATGTGCTTTGCAAAATCAGCCACCTTGACAATAGCTCCCCCTCCCTTTTTCTTGTAGATTATGTGCCACTTAGAGATGTCTGTTTTTCTGCTCAAGCTTAGGTCAAATCTGAGCTGCAAATCAGGAAAATCAATACCTCTCTGCAGGTGACTACTTCTACACTTGGCCTTTTTCTGATAACAGCTCACCTGCTGAGTCTGGATGCCAGGGGGAAAAGCGATTAGTCCTGAGCGAGAAACCCAGTGATTGAGTCTCAAGATTAAAGAATTCAGGTCCTGTAAGAAAAAGGACCTAACACCCTGACCTGCTAATATTCATAGAGAATCTTAGAGCCTTGCTTTGAAAAAAAAAAAAAATGAAAACCTCCATGAGAAAAGTCAGTAACCAACTGTATCAACAGCACTCCTGCAGTCAATGGTTTCTTGATTATCTCTACCCTGGCTGAGCCAGATGAAGGCTGGGGGTCAGTGGCTGGTGTCAATGACGTTCAGTGACTGCCTTTCTTCCTGGACAGGTTATCTGGCTATGGTGATTGCAGCCTGCGTGCTGAACTTTCACAGAGCCCTCCCGCTCTTTGTGATCACTGTGGTTGTCATCTTCTTTGTCATCTGGGACCACTTGATGGCCAAATATGAATATCGAATTGATGAGATCCTGTCTCCTGGCAGAAGGCTTCTGAATGGCCATTGGTTCTGGCTAAAGTGGTAAATGCAATGGTTCTCCTACTGCAGTTGAGAGGGATGTTAATCTTTTCCAACACTGTTCCAAAAATTTGTCCAGAAATTGCTTCCTCGTTGATGGGGTATTGAAACTAGAAAAGTAAAGAGTAATCGGTTATAATGCCTTCATTTTAGATAGGAAATCAAGGTCTAGATCAGGCAAATGACTCATTTGAGATGTGTTCAAATGTCCCTACACATTGCCTTCATTTCAAGAGTTACTAAATGATCAAATGTTGTCCAAAAGATGTTAATCACAGCCTTCCATGTGCTATATTACAGATTCACCTAGGTATCTACATCTCAAGATGCAGTTGAAATGTTGCAATGTCTTTAGTTTCCCCTCAGCTTATAAGTGGAAGGACATCGTGATCAATCAGTTGTCTGTCTTGGCACTGGAAAGGGAACAGCAACACGAATGCCACCTAATCTCAGAATATAACAGTATATATACACACACTCTCTCACACACACACACACATAGTTGATTTATAAAGCACAAAATGGAGATTGCTGACAACCTGTCTGCATTGTCATTTCATCTTTGCCCCTTTCTTTCTTTTTATCCAAGCCGTACATATTCTCTTTAGATTTTATTTACAAAAAAGATCATATAATTTTTTTTTTATTTCTAGAGGGTGTACGTGCTCACCAGAGAGAGAGAGAGAGAAAGCACCCCAATGGGGCATGGTCACACCACAACCCTTTTCCTCCGTTTCTCAATCCTGTCGGGATTTGGGCATGCATGCACATGTGCCCAGCATGCTTTCCAAGCCATGAGGGCTGGCATTATGGGGTCTAACTCCTTATGTATGATGCTTAGCTAGTGCACTATGGAGTTGGCCCCATAGTCAATCTTTAATTTTTTTTTTTTTTTGGTATTTAAATATATATATGTATTGGGCCAGCCCCATAACTCTATAGTTAAAAGAACTGGATCCCTCATGGCCAATCACAGAGTCCCAGCTCCAGAAGCTTGAAAAAACAGGCACGTGTGCATGTATGCCTCAAATCCCAGCAGAAAGGAAAAATGAAGGAGATGGGATTGCAGCATGATCTCACTCCATCAGTAGATGCTTTCTCCCTCCTTCTCCTTCTCAGTCTCTTCTCCCTCTCCCTGGCAAGTACACATGCCCACTGACAATTGAAAAATTGTATTTAGTTGATATCATGAGAGGGCAAGAGAGACAAGAACCTCCAACAGCACCTTACCAACCACAACCCTCCCCCCAGCCTTTCAGCCAGCCAGGATTTGAGTGCTCTTATAAATGTGCCTGGCATGTTCTTGTCCACCAGGGATCTGAACCCCAGATCCCCCATGTGGTTCCAGCATTGTGCAGTGGCACCACCTCCCCTTGCACCACCTCAGCTGGGCCAATTTTTAACTATTTTAAATATTATAGTGAATATAAATCTTTATTCCATTTCTGATTAACTTAGGCCAACCAATATTTCGTTCTTTGCATTTTTATGGACTAGTGAATCCAAATAACTTTTCAGTTAGACTTTCTTTACTCCCAATTTCCCTCATGCCCTTTATTCACTACAAACTTAAGTTTTGAAAATTGCTTTGATATTGAGGATTAGCACTTGACGTATTGTGTAATGAATAGATTAAAATTATGACCTATGGATTGTGATCAAAAAGTTTCATCATCATCCTTTCAGTCTTATTCAGTGGGAGCTATCTGCCATATACTTTGTATGAAAACACAGAAAGCCTGTGACCCTTCTGCTCACTCAGTTAATAGTCCAATTGTCACAGATGTATTTTTAATATCATAATATCCCCTCCCATACAATCATAATATCCCATCCCATCGACCAAAGTGTCCATCTTTTCTTTCCAGGTTGGGCCTGCATTTTGCCTTCCTCCTTGATGCCTTTTTCTCTACCATCCTCAAAACCAGAAGAGAAATCCGTGATGGCTGGGACAGCCACTAGCAGCTGGCTTCCTGCTATTAGCACAAAGTTAGCCTCCTTGGGGTCAAGGGACAGTGAATACTAGAAGATGACACTTTCCTGTAGGACCTGTGTCCTACAGTGACTGCTCAGGCTTTTTTCCTTATCCTCTCTCTATGAGTAAGTAGGACTCAGAACAGACTCTCCCCCAACAAGGCCTGCGTGGGATCTGCCAGGAAATTTCACACATCCCTGGCCTAATCAACCAGAATTATGCAATCCCAACACAGCAGCCTTGCTGGTTCTGCCATCTAGACAGTGAGTCAGACTTGTTATGCCCACTGGGCTCCCCCAGGGAGTGAGAGTGCAGTTTAAAGTCTCACCTAGCTCTTTGAGGCTCTGGTGAGGTCTCCTGACTATGTAGTACAAATTGCTGAGTCCTCCCTTAAAAAGAAGGTAACACCTTACCATCTCCCAAGAAGAATCCCAGTAGTTTCCTCAAACACCCCTTCCTCCTCTCTGCCCTTTTGTGTATCTTTGAGCTGCCAAAGGGTCCAAGAGTTGTAGAGGGGATGCCTTGCTTAATTTTTTGGCTATTTGCCCTTACAGCTACAACTAAAAAGTCTATTGCAATTTCTAAAACCACTTCCAGTGCCCAGGTGCCTTACTCTGGCAATTATTTTAATTTTTTTGTTTGTGGCCCAGCCTGGTGGCATGGTTGGAAGTGCTGAAAGCCGCATAGTTGACTGCAAGTTCAGATCCCCAGGTCAACATGAAAACATGTCAGGCACATGTGCGTGTGCCCAAGATTCTGATGAGCTTGAGGGCTGGGGGAAGGGCATCATACCTTGACAAGACCTTGTCGAGGGTGTTTCTTGCTCTCTTTCTTTCTCTCTCTCTTTGTCTCTCTCTCTCATGCACACATGCATTCTCTAACCTGAGTAAAATAAATAAAATTAAAATGTATATTTATTTGTGTGTTGTGTATATATGTGTGTATGTGTGTATGTATACACACATACACACATATATGCATATAGATACATACACATTTATTTTTGTGCATATATGTGTATATATGTATGTGTACATATAAACATACATATATATAGATATATACATGTGTGTGTGGTGTGTTTATTAGTTTATGCCTGATTACAATTTTTTTTAGAGGTTTTTGCTATAGGGCGTGTGCACTTGCCAGAAAGACGGAGAGAGACAAAGAGACAGAAAGCGAGAAATCACCCCCCCCGGGGGGGGTGGCCACACCGCAGTCCCTTCTCCTCCAGTCTCCTCTTGGGATCTTGGACACACACGCACGCACAACCGCCATGAGTTTAAGCCACTGGGTCCAGGACTCGAACCACGGTCGACTACACAGGAGTCCCAGCGACATAGCCATTATGTCAACTACTGGTCTCGCTGATTATAATTTTTAAGCTAGTCTAGATAATGATGTCAATACCCCCCTTTTTTTTCTGTTAGGGTGATTTGGAGCTTACTGATTCTGGGAGTTATTTTCTGGCTGATCTTCGACACCGCCAGGTTGGGCCAACAGCAACTGATATCCTTCGGTGGGCTCATAATGTACATAGTCCTGGCATTCGTGTTTTCCAAGCACCCAACCAAAGTAAGTGGAACATTGCTCTCTTGGGGTCCCCTCCTCTTTTTTCCTCAACTGCCAATTGCTCAAAACAATGATTGAGAGAAGATATAATATTTTTCAATATTTTTTCTACCCTGGTATGGTTGTTAAAAGGGACAAGAGTGCCTTTCTTCCTGAATTTTCACTATACTGTCTGTGACCATCTCATGTTTTGTTCTCGGTAACTTCCCAGTTATACACCAGAGACGTTTACTCTCTCTGCCAAGTCCAGTTTCCACTCACATGTCCATATTCCATCAAATACATATCAGAGAAAACCCACCCATTTTGATCCAGATTTCCCCAGACCAGTAAATAATCTAAAATTCTTTCCCCTGGATTTTGAGTTTTATCAAAGCTCCATTTGCAACTGGGGTTTTCTTTACTTCACACACGTATTGGTCCTTACACAGTACTTTTGACCTTAAACCCATTTCTCATCCTTACTTTGTTAACCTATAACTCTTGAAATGGACAAGAATTCTGAGACATTGATACTCTCACAGTGGCAAACTCTGAAAGATTTTCCTGGCTAAAAACTGACCCTAGGGGACTGTGATGGGGGGGAAGCATTAGTCAGAGACCAAGTTTACCTAATATGATCCCAACGCTTCGTCCTATTTGGGTGAACATCTCCATTTTCTGTGCCTCCGATCCCATAGTTTTCTCCAGGCCACTCATCTCTGCACCAGAAATGAAAGCAGATGATTGTCCATTACTGCTGCTCATCCCGGTCTGCATTAGAGTTAATTGGTTCCTTTTATGGTGAAATAAGAGCCCCTGAACAGGGCAGAATTTCACTTAATTCACTTACAAATTGTCAGACCAACAAACTTTGGACACACAGAGAAATCATGCTCTGCAATTCCATTTTCCAGACAAGGAAATAATTATGTGTGTCTAATATTTTCAGCATGATGAGGACAGCCAGATTCTCCCTCCTTTGATGGCCCTTCTTAGACTACTGTCTATGTCTAAGTTATTTACCAGGACAGAAAGCTTACATGCTTTCCCAGGACCGAAGGTTTCAAACTCAGGTTTAGGAAGAGGGAATGCAATGCTGAGAGTGTGTGTGTGTGTGTGTGTGTGTGTGTGTGTGTGTGTTTTAGAGAGAGATTTTTTGCTATAGGGTGTGTACACTCAATGAAGACAGAAAGAGAGAAAGTGAGAAATCACACACTTCCAGGGGGGATGACCACACTGCAAACCCTTCTCTATTCTCCTTTCTCCTCCCTTCTCCTCTTGGGATTTTGGGCACGCACGCACATGTGCCTGACATGAGTTTCAAGCCTCCAAGTCTGGGACTCAAACCCTGATTAGCCATGTAGGAGTCCAGTGATGTAACCATTATGCCATTTGCTGGTCCCACAATGCTGAGGTTTTTAAGGGATGACACTATCAAGGGATTCTCTTATGACTACTGTGGTTCCCAAAGAAGGAAGGTCACAGCCCACGTCTGAGAATGCACCCAAGAAAGTAGTGATGCTCTGACATTAGCTGAGTCAGCGTGGCTTTTCTAGTAAGATCTGTCTCTTGCTCTTTCTACATAGGTTTACTGGAGACCTGTCTTTTGGGGAATTGGGTTACAGTTCCTTCTTGGGCTCTTAATCCTAAGAACTAACCCTGGATTTGTGGCTTTCGACTGGTTGGGCAGGCAAGTTCAGGTAAGTCTGGTTCCAAATAGGCTTCTATAGTGCTTGAAATACTCGGATGTCATCCTCAAGATGTGTCAGAAATAGTTTATTTATCTGCATGAGTGGACTCAAATTTTAATTCCATAGCCATCAGTTAGAGATATAGTTTATGTCCAAAATATTAACTCATCTAGTTTACTAGTGTTAAACTCCCCTTACCTGTATCATCCATCCACCACATGACTACCAGTTCCTAATGCACTCTTCCTATGCCTAAGGGGGATGTCGCTCTTCTGAGATGGTTTCACAGGCAAACGGGCTTCCTTTGCATCCAGTGGTAACTGGGGCCACCCATGTGCCATCTACAGTTTGCTGGAGCAAATCACCATGCTCGGCTCATTCTTTAGCATCTGAAAGTCAGACCAAATGTCAGAAATGACAGGACACTGTATGCAACCACAGATCAAAAATACACTCTCCTGCCATTCATTGAAGGGGACAAAGCTGCAAACGTTAAGTTTCCAAGTCTGTCCAGCGACTTTGCTGGGTCTCTGTCCTCTGCAGAGCTCAGTGTTCTGTGGACTGTGACCCTCACCTCAGTGGTTATAATCATCTCTTTCTTTCTTTGACTCAGACTTTTCTGGCTTACACTGATGCAGGGGCTGTATTTGTCTTCGGTGAGAAATACACGGACCACTTCTTTGCATTTCAGGTAAGGCTGACACCTTTTTCTATGCAGTCACTGCCTTTTTAGCAGAATTTGGGACTTTGTAGCTGTTCAGATGAAGTGTAACTGACCTCAAACTAGGTGTACACCTGCCAGCCTTGTCATAGGTGCGCAACATACCTCTGCCCTTTGTCCTTTACAACGCTCTATGAAGACAGTGAATTATACACTTTTTACTTTGTTGTCATAGTATTAGTGGAAACATCTAAAGGGGGTCAGAAATATTCTAATATTTGGGTAGGGAGGGCTTATGGCATTACATGAAATACTTGTGAAAAATCATACGGGGTAACAGTATCTGGGATTTTAGGTAGAGAATGTTATGTAGCTGGCCATGAATATGCATGTGACCACCAATGGCTTCTAGGCCCAGAATCAATAACACCTCTGTACTTGGGAAACACTTCAGTTCTAGGCAAACAGAGAGCTGGTCAACCATATTGACCTCTGTTTTTTCAGAGCTGTCCCAATGCTAAATCTTTTTTATCACTCCTTCACAACGATATGGAAGGTGGTTCTAACTGAAGAAGGGTTTTTCTGTTTTGTTTTCTGGTTTCTGGTTTTTGTTTTGTTTTGTTTTGAGAGGTTTATGCCATAGGGCATGTGCACTCACCAGAAAGACAGAGAGAGACAGAAAGCAAGAAATCAACCCCCCAGAGGGGATGGCCACACCACAATCCCTTCTCCATTCTCCTCTCCTCAGTATCTTGGCCACACATGCACACACGCCCAGCATGAGTTTAAACCACCAGATCCGGGACTCAAATCACGGTCATTTACATGGGAGTCCAGCAGCATAGCCATTGCACCAACTGCTGGTCCCAAGAAGGGGTGCTATTTTACAGGAGAAGGGAAACCTGAATCCTGCCCAGGTGTAGTCTACTCCCTCACTCCAGAAAAGCTAACCCTCCCATGGGAAGGACCAACAGATACTTATTGATGTGTCCAAAAGACATGTTTTGAGACCAACCCTGAGGTCTGGTGGTTAAGGGAGCTGGATCCCACATGGCCAACCATGTGTTTCGAGTCCCGGCCCCAGCATCTTTAAAAATACACAGACATATGTGCATGCATGGCCAAAGTCATCATAATAGAATAGAAAAATGGAGAAGGGATTGTGGCATGACCGTGTCCCAATGGAGGGTATTTTCTCCCTCTCCTTTTTCCTCTCTGTCCCTCTGTCTCTGGCTAGCACACACAAAAATTTTTAAAAAGGGAGAGAGAGATGCACTTGGGTTTTCCTTCAGCTTTCCTTTTTGTGGTATGTTATTGTTTGTATGTTTCATTGTTTTCTCACCCCAGATTTACCTCCAAGTTATGCTAGTTTCAGTCAGAATTTTTTTTTTAACTAGAGGATGTGTGCCCTTGCCAGAGTGAGACATAGAGGAGAGGAAGAAAGCACCACTTAATAGGATATGTTCATACCACAATCCTTTCTCTAGTTCTCCATCCTGTGAGGATTTGGGCGCGCGCACACACACACACACACACACACACACACACACACGCCCAGCATGTTTTTCAAGTTTCCAGGACTGGGATTCAAACTCTATGATTGGCCATATGTGATCCAGTTCCCTTAGGAACTAGGCTATGGGGCTGGCCCATCAGTTACACCAATCTTTCTTTTAAGAGAAATTTTTTTGCTATAGGATTCATGTGCTTAATGGAGACACAAAGAGAGAGACAGAAAGCAAGAAATCAGCTCCCCAGAGGGGATGGCCACACTGCAATTCCTTTTCCTCCATTCTGCCTCAGGATTTTGGGCACACATGCAAATGTACCTCAATCCCTTCTCCTCTTGGAATTTGAACATACATGCACACATGCCTGATGTGAGTTTCAGGCCTCTGGGTCTGAGACTCAAACCATGTCGGCCATGTGGGAGTCCAGCGCCTAACTATTACGCCACCTGCTGGCTCCAGTTAAACCAACTTCTAATTCTGAATCTCTCTCTCTCTCTCTCTCTCTCTCTCTCTCTGTCTCTCTCTCAAGTTTTCTACAGGGTTCATGTGCTCACTAGAGATAAAAAAGAGAGGGAGAGAGATAAAAGATACCTGTCCAAGAGAGATGGTCACACTGCAATTCCTTTCCTTCCAATCTCTTTAGGACTTGGGGCATGTATACACACGCATCTGGCATGATTTTCAAGCCTCTGGGCCTGAGACTCGAACTCTACACTCAGCCATATGGTATTCAATCACCTTAACCTCCACATCATCAGCAGGCCCTTTCCCAAACCATATTTTAAACTGCTGATTTGATGTTTGGGTGCTGAGGTGATTAGGCCATCTGTGAAAGGTCAAGTATTTATAGAGGTAGAAATAGATTCATATCAAGAATTCAGAACTGGAAAAAATACCATCACAAAGGAGTAACCTGCTCCCTGGGCTCTACGGTGTCTTCAGAGCTTGCACACATGCACCAACTCCCTACCTGACACATACGTATGGGGCAGCGGCCTCTATATTCTCTTGCCAGTACAGAATTTCAAGGGTAACACTCCAGAAATGACCCTATTTAACTCCCTCAAGCTTTCAGGTAGGCTCTGCCCACCCATTAAAGCCAGGAAAAGGCTCACAGAGAGAGAACTGAATACTAGTACATATTATTAATAGAATTTTCTAAATTAGATCTTGTACAAATTTTCCTCAGCCATTCTGCCGCTGGCAGAAGCTTGTCTCAGCTATTTAGCTGGGGAACCGTAGTGAAAGGGTGTGGTGAGGTGGGACCGAGGAGGGACCCAGTCCACCATTCTGTGTGGCCTATGCAGGGTAGAAACTGCTGCACCAGGGACCAGGAGATGGAAGAATGGTTTGTCCCTGGACTCCCATGTAAGCTGCTGCAGTTCAATGACCAAACCTGGAAACTTGAAACTCATGTCAGGCACATGTGTGTGTGTGCCCAAAATCCCAAAAGGAGAATGGAGAAGGGATTGCGGTGTAGCCATCCCCCCACCCCGGGGGGGGGGGGGTTTCTAGCTTTCTGTCTCTCTGTCTCTTCAGCAAGCACACGTGCCCTTATAGCAAAAATATCTCTCTCAAAAAAAAAAAAAAAAGCAGAAACTTGGGATTAGCAGGCGCCATAATGGTTACATTGCTGGACTCCCACATAATTGATCACGGTTTAAGTCCCAGGCCTGGTGGCTTAAAACTCACCCTGGGCACATGTGTATAGGTGCCCAAAATCCCAAAAGGAGAATGGAGAAGAAAGGATTGCAGCGTGGCCATCCCCTCTGGAGGGTGATTTCTTGCTTTCTGTCTCTCTGTTTCTCTCTGTCTCTTCAGTGAGCATATGTGCCCTATAGCAAGTTCGTTCACAAAAAAAAAAAAAAAAAAAAAAAAACAGAAACTGCTGCACCAAAGGCACCTGAAGATTAACAAGAAAACAGAATCTAGGAAAATACAATATGCATTAGCACAGAACTATAATTTCCAAAATGTAATCACTTTAGTGATTCAAAATTCTATAGGTAAAAATCATTCTTATTTTAAAAGCTAACGACAGAATGAATGTTTACTCTATAAAGTGCAGTGTGTGAGCACCTGTCATATTTGGTCTGATCTGTGTAACCACTACAAATGAGTAGCTTGGGTTGCTTATGATTACTCTTGTCTTAGGTTACTCTGCTAAATTGTGATCAACTTCATGTCTTTTTATGTTTTTAAAGAGATTTTTTTAAAGGTTTTTGTTATAGGGCATGTGCGCTCGCCAGAAAGACAGAGAGAGACAGAGAGACAGAAAGCAAAAAATCACCCCCCAGGGGGGATGGCCATGCCACAATCCCTCCTCCTCCATTCTCCTCTCAGGATCTTGGGCATGCATGCACATGTGCCCAGAGTGAGTTTAAGCCACTGGGTCCAGGACTTGAACCGTGGTCGACTATATGGGAGTCCAGCAACATAGCCATTACGCCAAGTGCTGGTCCCAAGAGAATTTTTGCCTTAGGGCACATGCATTGGCTGAAAGAGAGAGAGGCAGTGAGAGGGAATGCGAGAAATAACTTCCCCAGTTAGGATGGCCATGCAGCCTTCTCCTCTATTCTCCTCCCAGGATCTTGGGCATGAACACACCTGAGCCCAGTGTGTTTTCAAGCCACCAGGTCCAGGACGCAAACCACATTTGGCCAAGGTGAAAGTCCAGTGATGTATCCACTACACCATCTACTGGCCCCAGAAGCCCATATCTTTTTAATAGCAGAACAACAGAATATTTGCTGATGGCCTTCAGTTTAATCTATTGGGTCATTGGAAAAGTCATTATGTATTTTTTCCATGTTTTTCTATGCAAAAATGCATCATGACTTTTCCAATGGCCTGATAGTTACTACAAATTCCTCCAAAATTTCATTCCTTCTCTCAATAAGAAAATTTCATCCTGGAAAAACGGTTTGAATAGAATCCAGACCTTTTTCCTGGCTTTAAGTCTTAGGCAAATTTTTCTTAACATTTTTTTTATTGTGATTTATTAAAGCTAAAACTGTTTTTCTTGAAATTAAAGAAAAATAAAACTACCTCATGACAGCAGCAGTAAGCTCTATAGCCTCATCTAGGTGCTACTTTATAGTATGTTCATTCTACTCACCGAGTTTTATGCCGAAAGTCAGACTTGTGTTCAGAGGTATGTTTATATCAGTTGTACTTACTATTGAAAGGATTTAGATGAATTAAGATCTGCGAATCAATAAAATGTGGCAGGGGGGGCATGGAAAGCAACTGTGGATGCCAGAGACAGTGTGGGAGGAGGCTGGGAAATCCAGAGGGTGAGAGGAATGGAATCAAGGGGATTAAAATGAAAAAAAAAGAAGCAAAATATATAAGAAATAAGAAATGGAAGTTTATTTGTTGATAATGACATGTATGGTAATATCCTTGATTGAGCCAATATACAGCGTATTCTGGATGGGAAAACTTATTTTCTATGCTGCAATGATATACAGTGAATGAATGTAAAATAAATAAATTTAAAATAAAATATATATATACATACATACTCACACTTACCCAGAAGAAATTAGAATCAGAGACTGCAGACAGGGAAATTGCTTGATCAAAGCGTCGTTGAGTTCAAGAGGAGTATCCAGTACTCAGCGTGTTTGAGAGGGAGAAGAAGAAGCAGGAAGGAGACCTGATATGAATCCTGTGGATACTTCCCAGGTCAACACTAACCCAGGACGCTCTTGCCCACCCCTCCCCTAGGTTCTGCCCATCGTGGTCTTCTTCAGCACCGTCATGTCCATGCTCTACTACCTGGGGCTGATGCAGTGGATCATCAGGAAGGTACTGGGACGGGAGGCGCAGGGCGCCAAGTGTAGACAAAGACGTAAAAGCCTTTTATCCAGAAGTATCCAAACTGCCTTTCTTTCCTGCCACGATCCCAATTATTAGGTTTAACTCCCCAAACCCTACATGTGTGCACAGAGGGTATTTTATCTCAGGGACTTCTAAGAGGGCTTTGATTTGACACCCACTGGGCACCTTTCTAAAACCAGAGCAGTTACTTTCGCTCTGAGGACTCGAGGTCAGACCCCTCTGGAGGGAAACAGCACTCATCATGGTTATCCGCCCTTGTGCCTCACATGAAGTCACCGCTCCTCCTCAGACAGCTACAGAAGCAGACACTACTGGTCTTGGAGGTGCTGAAGAAGCCCAGGTGAAAAGAAGCAGCTGCTTTTCACTCCGAAGGAAGATTTTTTTTTTTTTTTAATTTTGCCAGAGGGCACGTACACTCACCAGAGGGAGAGAGGAAAATAGCGCCCCCTACTGGGGCATGGCCACGCCTCAATTCTTTCTCCTCTTGGGATTTTGGGGATGCTGGCCTACAGCCTGGAGTGTTTTTTCAAGCTACTGGGGCCAGGATTTGAACCATGTAGTCAGTTATATAAGATCTGGCTAAGTTAACCACTCAGTTATGAGTCAGCCCTCCTGAGGGAGTTTTTTAAACAGGCAAATAAAATTTAAAAATAAATAAAATAGAAGAGCTG